TATAACAAACAGGGCAATTATCTGTTCGCAGTTAGTGAAGCATAACGTTGGACGCTTCCCCCTTCAGAAGCGTGTTTGGAACCGAGCTATATCGCACATTAGGGATTCCCAGCCAGGAGGATCGTGTTTGGTCGCTAGAGTGAGGGGAGGGGTGAGAAAGAGAAAAATGTTTCGAATTCTTATTTTTCTCTTTCTTTTGTTTCAAGTGTGTTTTTTAAATGTGCCATATACCTCCACGCCCGACCATGCTCCCAGGCTCGGCAAATTTCTGGCGAAAATGCAAAGGAAAAATCGGGAAATGTGAAAGGAGTAGGGAAAGAGGGAAAAATACGGAAGATGGTAAGAGCTAGCAAAGGAGGAGAGGCCGTACCAAAGAAGGAAACTTTTAGAGGGTCATATTTTGCAAAAGTTTTCCCCAACGGCACAACATGCTTTGTTTGGCATCTGCTAACGCCGCGCGCTGCGCAATTTGCCGCTTGCCAAAGTCGTGCGGCGAATGGTGTTCACGAAAATCGTACGTAGTTCGTACGGTGCCCTGGCGCGATTAGGACAGATAGCCCGTTATAAGGCCCTACACACTTCGTTAACACTTGAACCTTCATGCATGGTCCAGCTCTGTATGCAGGACACGGGGGGACAGTAGCTGCCAAAGCAAGATATTTAACAAACCACGAAAGAATGTATCAGAGAGAGGGCACATATTGGCTGGGGATTTAATTCGGAGTCCTTACGACCCCCCCTCTCCGGCTCTTCTGTCGCTCCTCATCCAATGGAGCCGTCACCTCTTACAACGTCCATGAAAGCGAGAAAATCAACTATCAAAATAAATTTTTCTCAGCCCAAATACGACCCCCCTCCTGGCGGCCAAATACGACCCCCTGTTGGGGATTCCCCAACAGCGGTGTGCTCTGATCAAGAGGAGGAGGCTGCAGGGTGGGTGAGCTACTTGTGATGCGTGAAAAGCTGGAATGTGTGAAAATTAACACGATTAAAGGCAAGAGTTCACATTGTCCGTAAACCTAGCGACCATCCATGTTCGTCTTTCTTTGGGTCTTGGTATGAGGAACATTTTTCACATTTTCGAGCCTTAGCAGTACTTGAGAGGATATAAGGCTTGATTTGTGGCGTATTCCCTTTCCCGACAAACAGCTGAGTCTCGCTCGTCTAAGTGCCATATCATTCGTCACGACGAATTCACAAGGCCAGTACTCTTGAAAAACGTAGTCTCGATAGGCAGAGGTATTAGGGATTACCTCCAGTAGGAAGTCGATCGCCCGGGATGCCATAAATATAGAGGAATCATTACCACTCCACCCCACGACCCCATGGGTCGAAATTTGAAAAGTTCGAGGAAGGCCTCTCGAATTCCTATGCCCACCCGTGTCTCTTCTTTCAACCGGGCATAACGACAGTAATTAGATTTCAAGCTGTGACAAAGACGAGAATGCTGGATGGCTGAATGAACAGCCATTTGAAAATCTTGTGAGGTACGGTAGAACTAACTATAAAGAAACTGACAGGCTAAACTGAGAAGAAAGAGCCGGACATTACACATGGGAGTAATGCGCTCAACAAAGAATGCGTGGTTTGATGTTAATTTGAATCTGAATAATTCAAAAAACTTTTTATATGTTGGCAATTTTAGGAACTCTAATAAACAATCAAAGTTACGCTATGACGCCTTTCCAAAGCTCACAATAACCAATTAGAAGCAAAGAAGAACAAATATTGGAAAAGGAATACACTCCAAAGCACAGATGATCCGTTTCTCCCAAAACCGTCGGTGGGAAAGGGCAATGTTGATCGCAATGGACAACCTTGAGCAAATTTCGCGTCAGAATGTTGTAAGGTAGTGGCGATAGGGCGCAAGGTTGCTCATGTGGTTTTGAATCGGCTCTGCATTGCTATCAGGGCACGTCCTGCCGCTGGGGAAATTCGGGACGTACGACCCCTAGTTCCCTCCTCTCAAACGACCTCCCTCCTTCCCCATGCCACCTACAACTTTCCTAGTTTTATGCCATCGTCCTACGCTTCCTAGTTTTTCCAGGATTTCCCGGGAATTTTCTAATCGAGCGGGGGCGCAAGTTCTTTTCCTACGGCACTAATTTCTCTTAGACGCGGAATACGAGCCACCTCCCCCCCGCATACGGTAGGTGGACAAGGAAGTCATCTATAAACAAATTCCTCAGCAGCCAAGTAGAATCACCCCCGTGGCTTGATTGCTTATTATCGTATCGTTACTCTTGCGTCGTGGTACACCTCTCTTCGCCGCTCTTGTCTAGTCTGTTGCAAGGACATCCCAGCGAATTTCGGTCCCACCCTATTTTAGGAGGCTTCTGAAGCCGCTCGACAGTTTTCGTTGCTATTCTCTTTTACACACGGCAACTAGCTCACAAGCTAGTGCTTTTCCAGCCCCGCTACGATGTTTCCGACGAATGATCGTGAAGTGTGCCCTTAAATTCGATATCTTCTGCAAAAGACTCAGCTATTTTTATGGTCCCTCAGCTATGCATGTTTAGTATGAAAAGAATTAAACTACTGATCGGCAAGCCCAACCTCGGTTGATCTTCCATGAAGCATTCGAACGAGCTTTGCTGAGATAGATCGATGAGCCTCCCAGATCGTTTGTTGCTGCGCAACCTCCAGAGCACACTGTATTATGACTCCGATTTGGATTCAACTACTTAGATCACATCCAGCCAGCTCATGCTCATGAAAATGGGCCTTTGACTTCCTACAGCTCCTTATTGCAGCGTTAGTTAATAACAAGGAAGCTACTGACAGCGTCCGAGCATCCTTTAGCGACAAAAGAAGTGATGCTACATTGTAAAAGAGTACGTCGAGGTAAACACCGCCTTACTGGCCCGCCGGTTTCACAAACTGAGCCGCGTCAGTTGCGGCCATATTGGTGACTATACCGTTCGCATTGGGGGGAAAGTCGCAAGTACTGGTGGCCATAGAAGATGGATGGAGGCAGAGCTCTCGTTGCTTGAAACGCAGACAAAACCAGCTCGTCAGGGTCCTTTTTGTTTGATTCTCTTGCGTTTCCCAGGCCGTCTAAGACTATCCCATTTTTGTGGCTCCACGGTAAGTGAAGAACTCGCTGCTCCCCTCATAAGTAGCACTTTCGAGACCTCCCTAGTTGTGATGCCAACCAAAATTCAAAGGCTGTTTTCTGTCACGAGTTAATTTTTACACCGTGTTTCTCTCTTTTTTTTCTTTGTCAGATGTTAACCTGAGGGATAATGCGAAAAAACGACGAGTGAGCCACAGGCGGCAGGACACGGCTTGGCTGGCATGAAACTCAGCACATCGGGCAGACGGCACAGTGAGGCTGCGCGGGGTCTTCGGAGTGTTCGTCCCATTGACTTTGCTGCCTTTTTTTTCTCCCTGGAACAACACTTGCGATTTATTGGATTGTCAATGATATCCAGTACCAGCCATGCGGGTTTGCCCTTTAGACGATGTATTACCTACAAACTAGTATAGGTGAAGTACTAAAACATGAGAAGGTTGCAAGAAGAGAGAAACTGGAGGGCACTAGACAGCTGAGCCGGGCCGACCACCTTTCATTTGGTGGGGTGTAAAGCCAAGGCGACATCACTTCGCCGAGTTATCACCTCAGCATGCAGGTGAGTCATGAAGTCGCAAAGAAGGTTCGGATAGAGATGGATGGGGGCGAGCTCTCATAGCTTTGGAACGCAGACAAAATAGCTCTCTATCGAGTAGCGAATGGAATGAGGGGAGACTGGAAATTTTTGAAGAGATCACCTGGTATATGTCAGGACTTTGCGCTAATGTGCGAAATCTTAGTCCTGACTCCTGCGCCTACATGGCCGGGAGCCGTTCAGGAGAGTTCGCAAACTGCGAATCCAACTCTCACCCTAAAAACTTTTTCTTCTTTCCTTCCTTCTCATCTACCTTCCTTCTCTCTTTCCACTTTTTTCGGTGCACCCTTCACGCGGTTGGCCAGTAGATGCGATGGATACATTGGGGCTCACGCAGCACCAAAGCAGTCCGGACTGAAAGAGCCTTGTAACGGCCGCGGTAGCGTATTCGTACACTGAGGGCTTTCTACCATGACTTTAGGAAGCGCGGGCGATGTCCTCTGAAGTCAACTGATGTCACTGCAATCAGTGGGGGCGGTTTCGTGAGGGATGGACCACCCCGACTGATTGCAGTGACAATGCGGGCGGCTTGTTCACCAGCTGCTTGTTTTATGCCAATACATTAACTGACCAATCACTTATTGGACTGAGCAAGGCGCGAGGCGAGCTCATCCGCCTACAGCTGCGCCCGCACAACTTTGTGAAATACTCTTCATCACAATAGTATGGCGAGAGAGTTCAGTGTTGATGGTTGAGGTAGGGGGTAGAGTGGGGCATTTTTGCTTTGAAGTAGAATGCTTTTGGTTACCTGCACTTTCTCTCGTTTCAATTTCCGCTTCTGCTTTCTTAAGTGGCGCACACCCTTGCCCTCGACGATGAACATTTGACGAAAAGAGGAAGTATTTTTCAAACTTTGAAGAATGATGGGAAGTTGGGAAAGTTCAGGAGGATGGTATATAGGCTGTGGGATCAGCAAATGGATTACGAGTGAGGCCCTAGTTTGCAAATTTTTTACCCAGCGGACTAGTTGTTTACCGAACGTCACGTGACCCAAGTATACTCCATACCGGAGATGACCAGGGCGTGGCTGCGTACTTGCGTTTGTTTTTCTCGTAGAATGTTTTCGTTGAAGCCAGCTATCGACCTGTTTTGTGCTGCACAAAGACTTGATGATATTTGTCCTAAATCACCAAGCAAGACACCAAAACCATTCATAGGAAGTACGTGGCCACGCCCTCTATGTCTGCAAGATATGGGGTGCGGATTCGAAACTGATTTCATCTTATCTTAGACGACAAAAATGAAAAGAACCTCTATCTGCTTGCATATTATTCACGATAATTGTTTTATATTGCAGTGGGGACATCGAAATTCTGTTTGTTCGTGTGGTTGATGAGCGAAATTGTGCCGATTCACAACAATTCCGATCAAATGGCGTCCAGCAGTAAGTGAGGATTGAGTGTGATTCTAGAGTTACTCATGTATGAGAACATTTTTGTTTGGTCGATTGTCATTCCTCTTCCTCATCAGAACCTTTTCAGATCATTTGAACAATAGCCCAAAGCAGCGGATTAAAGCTGCAAAGCGAATTTTAAAACGTAAGTTCCATCGAATTCGTTACTCTAAGGGTTGGAAGCTTTTGTGAGCTAATGTAGCATCTACCTGAGCGGATTGCGGATCGACCTTCCCAATTCAGTATTATTTAGTGCTTCGGAATAGAACCCTCAAGCTGTGGGGCATAATACCCAGGCTACGGCAGCCCACTCGCACTGCTAGCATTTCTTAGCTAGTTGACAAGGCATACTTCAGCACTTTCATGTTGAATCATCGAGGATTTGGTGTGAATACCGCGCAAGTGGTGAACGGGTCCCTTGAACCGCACCGCGACCACACGCATGCAAAAACTTACTTCTAATTTCATTCCTAAGCTACGCACCGTACTGTAGTCGTATTTTCGTGTTCCTTCGAAAGGATAACATATTAAGACCGGACCGGGATGACCCCGTGGACAAAGGATAAAGTCTTCGCCGTAATCAATCCCTTTGTGGGATGCGGCACGCATTCTACTTCCATTCAGAATCGTAGTGGCTTATTGAATGCGATGTGGCCTATACAATGACTTGCGGGGCCAGCCGATGTACAAGTCAGTGTTTTATCCTCCCAGACGAATCTGGTACCAATTCGCCGTCCCCGCAGGGTGGGCTCGCTTGACCTGGGCGGGAGCTGATCAGGGAATTTATACTTGAATCGTGCGTGTGGTGCGTGCACTTGCCACTACAAAACCGCCGCCTCAGTAGTTGCGTTTACCTTGTCGCTCTAAAATTTGTCCGGTTTCCAGCAGTGTAAATTGTTGAACCCCATCTCAGTGTCATCCGAGGATTGATTCCTCACTCTTTCCTGAAAGAAGATATGCCTTACGAGAAAGCTAACTCATCACGATTGAAAAACGCTTTTCGGCCATTTATGGCATGTGAGCGAGGGGGCGGGCAAGTCACCGAGATAATGGTCGGAGGGGTTGGAGTTCAGTGACTTTCTCTGGCCTTCATCCTAACCTGCAATTCCGAACGGTGTCTTTAAAGTCATAATAGCGCTGATCATGTGGGCAGGATTTTCGGATCATTGACGCGTTCCTCCTTCTTGCCGTCTCGGGAGGTGCTGATCCCTGAGAATGGCGCACCTGTTCTGTCCACGTGACTCCGCCCATAACATCAGCGCGGAAAGTGCTTGTAGCCTAGACGCCCAATCCAAATCTCCTCTTTGCGAAAAGTTTGTTTCACAGCGTAGGAGAAGCAACCGGAATTAGTGAAACTAGCTCCTACTTTTGTTAATTTTGGAGCACGTGAATTCTTTTCTTTATTTTCGCAGTATTTAGAAACCAGAATTCCACGATGTCTTGCATCAAACGATATTCAATGGCTGATCGAAGCAAAACTACAAAAATTTCTACATTTTCCACCAATGGAGACAAAAACGTACAGTGAGTTTTTCAATAGAATTTATCGGAAGCGATTATCCTGTAAGGTGGTGAATCTTTTGGTACAACAGCTGCTGTGAACCAAGGGGGTGGGGCTTACCTTCGCCTGGAGCGGAAGCTTCGGGCGAGCCAATTCTTCAGTGCAAGAGGGGGGGGTTTCAAGCTGCACTTAAATCTCCGCACAGGGGCCATCTGGTACGCGAAGGTCAGCTCAGAAAACGCGAGTTGGGGCCAGTCAATAAAGCACTGAAGAGTAAGAAACGTGCATTGAAATGAATGCACGTGGACTCCATCATCTTAAGCGCCCCTTTTATTGATAAGGCTTTTATTATTGTTGAGTTTGGCCCTAATCATTTGAACAATCTCACAATTTTAAGGTGAAGTGTTGTGTAATTTTCTGCTGGGCTTGCACGCGTACAGAGGTAGCCCCGACTATGTATCCAGTGACTCGATTGAAAAGGAGTTCAATGGAGTGATGAAAGAGGTGGGTTTCAAAATAAAGCTCGGCCTAGTTCGGCGACGGGTGGGGGCTTTTTGCACTTTCGATGCTTCGGGTATGTGACAAGAGAATCGTAATGCCGCGCTGGTGGGCGTCGCGTGCGACGTCGCGCCCGCAAATGACGATGGTTCCAGGTAGTAGATGGCGACAACAGGCAATTCAGAACCGAAAATAGTCATGAATGTCTACGATGACGGGTCTACATGAAGTCCGGTGCTCCAATCGACAGGTCGAGTCAAGAAAACGTCCGCGCCCATCGCCGCGCGCGGCGGAGCGGCAAATTACGATTCTCTTGCCCGTCTCTCCAATGCTTCACTTGTTACGATTAACAAGTCTTATCCTGGTGTAACCTGTGAACTCGTGAAGCGCTAGCTAGCAAGCTTGTCGAGCACCATGATAAATGGTATCTGCGTGGTATTCCACTGCTTTACAAGAGTTGACAGGTTTTCTTTACAAATATTGATTGGCATCATTTCGTGGCTTCACAAGATTTCACAGGTCTCCACTTGATAGCTCGACACCGTCGTTGGGAAGTAGCAAAGGGCTGCGCTCATAGTTTGCGGCAGCCTCGACCATCGAACACCAGCCCATCGGCGTTTCGAGTGTACGTCAGCATCAGTGACCAAGAAAGCGTAGATATCGATCTAGCAAATGGCGTCTACCGGCGTCCACCAGCGTCCACCAGCGACCATCAGCGTCTCGAGGGACTAGGAAAGTATGGATATCGATCGAGCGTCTGCCAGCGCCTACCAGCGTCCACCAGCGACCACGAGTTGAGTGTATGGGGAAGTAGGAGGGCAGCAGACTGCTGGTAGAGTATGGAGAAGTAGGAGGAAGGAGACAACTGGATTAGGCGTCATGAAATTGTGGCGTGTGCAAGCGCACCGCACCACTACACAATACCGTACTCCTGCCCGCTTTTGGACGCTGATAGACGCTAGATCGATATCCATACTTTCCTAGTCCCTCGAGACGCTGATGGTCGCTGGCGGACGCTGGTGGACGCTGGTAGACGCTGCCGTTCGCTAGATCGATATCTATACTTTCCTAGTCGCTGACGCTGACGGACGCTCGAAACGCTGATGGTCAGACGCTCAAAACGCAGATGGTCGCTGGTGGAGCTGATGGTTACTGGTGGACGCTGCTGCAAAGTATGGACGCTGTCAAAGTGCAAAATGCCCCCCTCCTCCCTCCGTCGCCGAACTGTATCATAAAGCTGACTATGAGTTTCGATTCTTATACATTCTTTAACA